TTTTTTTTTTTTTTTTTTTAAGAATATCTTTATTGATTTCAGGGAGAGGGAGAGAGAGATAGAAACATCGATGATGAGCAAATTGTCCTCGATCAGCTGCCTCCTGCATGCCCCCGACTGGGGATCGAGCCTGCAACCTGGGCATGTGCCCTAACTGGGAATTGGACCCCCAACTCCGGGATCCTAGGGGCCTCAGCCTCTTTGTACTTAAAACGAAAGGACTCTACATCTCAAAGAGTCCTTCATACAAACAGCCTGCAGCCTGTGAAATTACTATGGTTAACATTGGCGAGCCCGTCATGTGAGCATTTCGCCACTGGAGGGAGCCTCTGCGCAGCTGTGGAACCAATGAGGCTCAGCTTCTGGATCCCGGGCAGGGACCTGCTTCTTTCAAGGCCATGTGTTCTCGTGATCATATATTTAAAGAAAGGGTCCCTCAGGCTAAAAATATATAAGGTCCTGCCCCACAAAACAGCTAGACTATTTCTTTTGTTTCTTGTTTGAAAAAATGCAACATAGGTATTGTCAGGAGTCACTTAACAGTCTTAATAGAAACAGGGACTGTTTCTTCTCCAAAAAATACATTGTGAGCAGTTGTTTCTCTGTCAATTCATGACAAATCTTTTGAATTTTACACATTGGTCATTTGTGTCTCTGTGAAGTTTTATTTTAAAAAACTGACATATTTGAAATGTTAACACATTTTAAATTTCAAAAATGTAAATATGTGAGACCAAGTTCCCCATTAAAACTCACTTTTTGACAATCTCTCACCAAGCCTCCCCTCCACCTTTAGCTCTTATTCTCTGCTGATGATTCTACCAGCAAAAAATAAGCAATCTGTTCACAAACTGGAAGATGTACAAACAGAAATCTCAGCATTTGAGTAAAAAAAACAGTGACTTATTTATCTTCTCTAATCAAAGAGATTCTTTAAGCTTGAATTAGGGGTGAGCTTTGTTAACTCTCTTTTCTTCTCTTTCTGGGGAAGCTACATGAGTTCTTTATCTCTAGAAAGAGACTCCAGAATGTTCCCTAGAGCCCAGAAAGGACTTTCAGTTCTGAGTACTCACAGGGGCGAGCCAGATCCACTGGCCACCGGGAGGCAGGGGGCGGGGAACCCTGTAGATGACCCCGAGGGGGCACTGCCCTGAGCAGACCTTGCAGGGGCCTCGCTCACTCACCTTCCGCACCCACTCCGGCATGACGTGGGTGCTGGGGGAGCGGTGGTGTGTGTTGATGACGATGACAGTGATAATGATGGATGCGATGACAAACACCATGGTGAAGAGCATGTATTTCCCAATCAAGGGCACAGCACTGGAGGTGGAAGGGATCAGCTCCACGATGACCAGCAGGAACACGGTTAAGGAGAGCAGGACAGAGATGCTCAGGGTCATTTTCTCTCCTGGACAAAATGAAGACGAAACACAGCAACCCTCCTGTTATGGCCTGAATTGTTGCTCCTCTCAAATCTATACGTTGAAGCCCTAAGCCTCAGCACCTCAGCGACTGTGTTTGGAGGATAGTACCTTTAAAGAGGTAATTAAATTAAAATGAGGTCTCAGGGTGGGCCCTCATCCAATATGACTGGTGTCCTCGTAAGAAGAGAAGATGAGGACACAGATACACACAGAGAAGAAAGACCACGTAAAGACATGAGGAGAGGACCGCCATCTAGGGACACGCTGCAGAGGACACCAACCTGCTGATACCTTGATCTCAGACTTCCAGCTTCCAGACTATGAGATGATAAATTTCTGTTTTTGAAGCTACACAGTCCGTGTCCTTTGTTATGGCTGCCCTTGAAGACCAAGACACCACTGAAACCCCCCGGGTAAGAGGAATGTGACAGGCATTTCCCAAAGCATCATTCTGGGGACATTTTGGGGCAGAATCTCCTATGAGACCTTGGCACCTTGACTCTGCTGACACAGTGGTAGGTGTTTTCTTTAGAGAAAATGACTACTTCATTTCATGCCCCAGAATTCCCTTTCTTGGTGGAGCCTAGGGAACCAAGTGACACCAAGCTGGGTGGCACACTAGACCCCGTGTGGCAGTTTTTCCATCTGAGCAGAATGTCATAATAAACCTCACATAACTGAACCTCAGCCTGGCCTGCTTGTTAGCCTGCAGAGGGCTGGGCAGTCCAGAGGTACATGTATAATTTTCTCATTATGGGAGCAAGCTTTACGACCCAAGCTGAGAAAACAGAGTCAATGACTTCACACCACTTACTTTCATCTAAAGAGGATGATCGTTTTTTGTTTAGTTTTTCATATTAAGGGACCAGGGAGTCCCCTGCCCCACCTCCTTTCTCCAGGCCCTACAATTTCAGGGTGAACAAGTCCCGGTTGCAGTCTTCGTTAGGCAGGTGGGGCAAACAAGAAGGGCAGGGCTGAAGGGCATCGGGATGATTTTGTGAGGAGTGACCCCCTTAGATGCAGTAGAGAGCCACTGGGAGGGACTTCCCTCTGGCTGGTCTTGCTGTGTGTGTCCTGGGAAACCCTTGTGTTACCCTGCTTTCCAGTATGGAGCTTCCTGCCCCCCACCCCCTACACACTGGATGCTTCCAGAAGCTAGGAGCATATACAGGATACAGGTCAGGTGCAAACAAGAAATTTCCAGTTCTACCTAGTGGGTAGAACTCTACTTAGAGAGGAGAAAAGCCTTTAAAAGTGAAAAAGACAAAATTGTAAACATGAAATATTGATCGAGTTACATCACATTTCTTGATTAACAATAGTGATAATAATAATAGCTACCATTCATCAGGCATCTCAGTGTTTAAATACTTTCCAAGCATAAATCATTGAACGTGTATAGAAATTGTGATTAGTTTCTGTATTGCCCGACTTAGTGTTTTCTCCCTTCACTTTAAGAAGTTTCATTTGATTAAAAAGTTGAAAAAATACTTATTCGTGATCATCTGTTTAAAAACAAGTACAATCACTAGAACGTCCATTCCGTGGGAGTGAATTCCGCCCTGTTTTCCACTGTATTCCTGCCACGTCACAGTTGCTCAGCAAGTGCTTATGTTGCCTGAGGGAATGAACGCATAGTGGTTTTATTCCTTGTGGGAGAGTTGGGTTTAGACTTTGTGAGTTTTCTCCTTGTCATTTTGATAAAATTGAGTCGTGAGTTTGAGGACTGTCTGTACCATCTTCCCCCCTGCCCCCCTCGCCGTAGCTCCAGCAGTGACTTGCTGGCAGGCATGTATACGCCCTTTTCCTGTTGTTTTTGGTGAGATTGTCACTCGCGTGCTGACTCAGTGGGGGTAAGCGGTCTGGGCTGACCTGTGAGGAGGCACTGCCACTTGGGAAGTGTGGTCTTGTGCATAAAGACGCTGCCATCTGGAAAACAGACACGGAAAAGCCGTTTTCAAGTGGCCAGGGGTGAGTAAAAGAGGCAAGACCTGGGCTGGTCAGTACAGAGCTGGTGACTGCATAGGGCAAGGGGCAAGGAGGAGGGTCCGTGACCCACGCCTTACCCAGCACGCTCCGGGGCACACGGTAGGAATTGGTGGTTATTCACATTAACTAGACTGAGCGACGCATGTGCATCCTCAGGGTCACCTTCAGCTCTCTGCCCGCTCTGAGGGCTCCAGCTGGGAGCTCCATCCACAGGGCCTTTCGCCCCCGCACACGGCCCCTCGGTAGGCGCGTCCCCCCGGGGATGACGGTTTGGGTCTGGCTCCCGTCCGGGTTGATTAGCCTACAGTTATTTCTGGCTTTTCCCAAAATAGCAGCACAGGCTCCGCTAGCACGAGCAGTCAGAGCCGTGGCAAGGACACCCACCTGAGTCGGTGGGCAGGTAGAACACCAGGCCGGTCAGGAAGGAGAAGAGCAGGCAGGGGATGATGACGTTGACGATGAAGTAGAGGGGCAGGCGCTGCATGACGAAGTGGTAGGTGATGTCCAGGTAGGGGGTGGCGGGGCAGCAGGCGTAGAACACCCAGTGCTTCCAGCCCCGGGACTCCTTGATCACCCACTCCCCGCTCTCCATGAAGCTGCTCAGGTCTGGCTTGTCGCTTTCCTGAGATGAAAGGAAACTTTGAAAACCCAACCGCATCGCCCGGAGGAGGGGTGGGGTTTCCTGGTCGCCTGTGACACGGCCACAGGTTCCGGGGCTGTGACATACCCCGGTGGGACCCTGGGCCACTTCCACTGCTGGATCTCAGGTTCCCTTCCTGTAAAACAAGGGTCTGAACAAGGGGATTCTCCACATCGGCTATACATTCAAGTCACCTATGAGCCTTAAAATAAGTGGGTGCCCTGGCCCCACCCCAAATGGATTAAATCCAAATTCTTAGGACTTTATTTTAGCTCCCAGGTAATTCTCATGTACAAGCGCACCAGGAACCTTACCGACTAGTTGAAAACCATCGAACTAGATGATCCCCCCACGTTCTCAATGGTGTTGAGAGCCCATGATCATGAAGGGGCAGAGTTGGAGACCTGAGTCACACTTTGCCTGAATCCAGCCTCAGTACATGAGGTCACCACCTACCGGGTTGATGACCACCACAGAGCCATCGTAGGTCCAGGTGCCCAGCTTCATGCTGCAGTTCTGCTCATCAAAGGGAAAGTGGGTGACGATGATCTCGCAGTAGCTTTTGAAGATGGCCGGAGGTGTCCACGTGATGTGGCCAGTGTGGTCCAGGAGCACTTTGGTGAACTTGACAATGGCAAAGTCACCATCTGCACTACGGTGGGACAAAGGGGGAGACAGCTGGTAATTACTCAGGTGCTAATTATAGAAGCTTTCTTTCAGGCAGTATCGCTTCTTACCTGCGTCAATGTTCCCCAAATTTGACAATAAGAATCACTGGGGTGCATGTTAAAATATAGATTCCTGAGCACCATCTAAGCACTGAATCAGTTTTAAAGAAATATCAGGTAATACTGATCCACTGCATCCCAGATCCTTTTCTTCCCAGAGCTTTGTAGTATTTGTGAGAATTTCCATCTATCCCCTCCCTATATACTTAGAAACTTAGCTGGGAAAAACCTAGGAATTTTAAATAAATACGTCCGTGGCTCATTACTATGACAAACAGGTTAAGGAAGGTGTCCATTACCTTTTTGAGAACTATTTCAGACTCAGTGGGGTGGGATCACAACTCAGATGCCTCCAGGGTCAGGCAGGGGAGGGAGGAGGAGGGGGTGAGGCTGTGGTGAAGGGACAGCCCCTCTCTCCTCTGAGGAAGGTGCCACTCAGCTCTGCCTGTGGTGTCCCGGTGGGAGCAAAGGCCCAGTGTTGCCAGGTATTTGGATTTTTCCTCAGAAGCTAAAAATCTGCATTTTTAAACCTAAAGTTTCCATATTTTTGAATGTTAGAGTTTTCTAGAGAGGCTAAAAACCCAGATTTTGATGTAATATTTCCAAATTTTCAAATGTTGGCACTAATTTCTTATTTAAAAATATCCAGCATGGAAGATATTAAAAATAACAAAAGGCCATTTCTGCAGGCCTTGCTCAGTGAGCAGTCGCTTGTCCTGCACACAGCCTGTGTCCCAGGCCTTATCCAAAGGGAGGGCAAGGTGTGAAACAGGTGGGTGGGGTCTGCCTCGGTGGGCTTTCAGGGACGCACAGCGTATCTATTGGTGCCTCACTCCATAAGTCAGGAGATTTTCTTCCCATTGAACTGTCCTCAGGATGGAGGTGGGGCTCTATCCAGAAAACTTGGTGCTATTGGGCCTGATCAAGGAGCAGAGGGCCACAGGGTCCTCTAAGGCTCTCCCTATAAGCTGGTCAGACTCGGTTCTCCCCCCACCAGATGTCCCTGAACATGCTTGTCAAAGGGCCAGAGGAGCTAATTGTTTTGCTCACATTCTTACTGGAAGAGAAACTTATCTAACACAAGACACTTCGCCCTATTAGCATAATGGTCTGAAAAGTTTACACAAATGACTGGATAATCTGGCTCAAGCTTGAATCCCAGTTACAAATGGAAAATATGTAAGTAGAAAATCGAAGTAGGGGCGATCGGCCATACAAGGCACCATTTCCACTCACTAGCCGTGGCCACCTTCCCTGGCCAGTCTGCTAGCACACAGCCTGCAGGCCCAACGTGCTGTGGAACGTCAGGCACAAATCCTCCAGGCCAGTGTTGAATGCCCCATGCCCGGGAAGGGTGCACTTTGAAATGCACATTCCCTGGCAAATGAAAGATGCATGAAAGTGAACATGTCATTAAAGCAGAGTGTCTTGAATCACATTATAATTTCATGACACGCAGTCTGTCCTGGAGCCCATGGGTGGGCTGCAACACAGGCACCCCGAGGCCATCGGCAGCATGGTGTCTTGGGATGCCATGAGGGCTCCACGAATAACAACCCTGGGAGTTCCAGGCCTAACGGTGGGAAGGGCATTTAATTCCCAGGAAGGCAATTATAGGAAGGTTGGTTTCCTTGGATAGTTGCCATACACCCTTCAGGAGCTCCCAGGGATTAAATGTCCCCCACCCACAGCCCTGATTCAATTTGGCTCTGATAATTGTTTTTCTTCATAACATGAGACGCCATATGGCACCCTAGCATGTCAACTTGGCTCTTGGTTCCCGAAGCATACCGAGAAGAGAGTCCCTTCTGTTAGGGCACTGGGGCTCCCCCTCCCCCAGGAATGCCCTCCCCAGCCTGTCGGTTTTGCTTACTTGTTATAGAGAACTAAGTCTGGGCGCCAGATCTTTTCGGAGGGAATGTGAATTTTTTTCACGCCGCCATAGTCTTCTGGATTCCATTTTAGGTTGTAATCCACCCATTGCTAGAAATGAAGACTCTTAGCTGGTTAGAAAGCTAAAAACAGTTTTTAAAACAATCTAGAGTTATCAAGAGCTGTTGGGTATGATAACTCAGGTAGCGACAGAAACTATGTTATAGTAAGAAAGGTTTGCTTCAGAATTCAGCTTTCTCTTCCTTTAGCAACACCAGCAAACACACACCGACTGGCTACATGCAGGCACTGTGCTAAGCATGTGACCGATATTGACTGTTTAGTTCTCACAACAATCCCATGAGGTAAGAGTGATCATTGACCCCATTTTACAGACGGGAAAGCAGAGGTACCTCCAAGTTCCACCACTAGGTGGTGGCAGATCTATCAGGCCACACTGCCGCCCAGGAAAGGAGAATGACCCTATTGGGACCATTTTCCTCAAGCAGGCAGCATCATGTTTTGAAAGTAGATTTTTTCCCTACATTATAAAAGTAATATATGCCCAATGAAGCAAATCTGGGTAACACAATGTTATGGATTGAATTGTGCCTCCCCAAAATCCACATGTTGAAGTTTTAACCCCTGGTACTGCAGAATATGAACTTATTAGAAGACAGGGTCTTTACAGAGGTAATTAAGTCAAAATGAGGTCATTAAGGTGGCCCTAACCCAATATGAATGGTGTCCTTATAAGAAGGGGACATTTGAGACCGATACATATTCAGGAAGAATGCCATGTGAACATGAAGATAGAGAGAGGCCTGAAGCAGATTCTCCCTCACAGCCCTCGGGAGAAACCCTTTCCATCGACATCTTGACTTTGGACTTTGGCCTCAATCTCTGTTGTCTGAGCCACCCAGTATGCAGCTTTGTTAGGGCAGCCCTAGCAAATTAAGACACAGAAAAAGCACAACATCAAAAACAAACACACACCAATTAATATGATCCATAATCCGACTGCCCCCAAATATTTACTTGAACATTTTGGTATATATCCCTTTTACCCAAATTGATTTACTGTGGGCCCAGGTTAAATTTCGGGGTGGATACAAACAACACAGATGCAATTGTGTAGCTGAATTACCTGTTTGAGTCGAACATTGGTTGTCACGATCTGATTTACTTCATCCTGAAAAAAGACAAGAGCCCATCATTAGGGGGCAGAGGGGGGACAAGGGGAGAATGCTCCAGAGTGAGAGGTGTGGGTGCAGTGGGGAGCCCAGGACACTCTGGTCTCACCACATTGATGAGCTGTATCAGCTGCAGGCCCACGGTGACCTCCACGGCTTTGCGGTGGTCTTCCACTGGTCGCACCACTCTGTTGTATTGTTCAAATAGCTTTGCCACCAGACGGGTCTCATGTTCAGAGCCTAGAACGAGGCCAGCTGAGGAAGCAAATGACGACATGCATGCTGTTAGATTCTGCTCCCTACTTCATGTACACTAACACGAGTAACTGAGGCGTGACCAGTTTACAGAAGGCACGAGGGACCCCTTGTTGAAGGGCTCCCAAATGCATCTAGTATTGCCTAAAGTCCTTTCCAAGCACACTGCCAGTGTGGTCCCTTCTCAGCGTGGGGGGGAGGGGGTGCCAGATTGTCATGACACTTATAACTCTAGACAGATCACATTCCTTAATACAACTTCTGGCTGAATCATGTTTGCCAGGAACATCTATAAACAAGAAGAAAGGTCCCCACAAAAGCCTGTCTCAGTATTTCAGAGCCTGGTCATGGTGTAATGAAATCTCGGGATTGGCTGGCCTCAGATGCTAGGGACAGCCAAAAATTAATGGTGGTTCACACCCATTAGGATGGCCATAATTAGCAAAGTTGAAAATGGCAAATGTTGGTGATGCTGTGCAGAAACAGGAACCCTTAGATGCTGCTGCTGAGGATGTAAAAGGGCGCAGTCACTGTGGAAAACATTTTGGTGGTTACTCACGCAAGTTAGATACAGTTAGCGTACGACCTACCAATTACACTTCGGGGTATATCCAAAAAGAATTGTTCACACAAAAACTAGTACCTGAATGTTCATAACAGCACTATATATAATAGCTCAAAGATGGAAACAACCCAAATGTCCATCACCAGGTAAATGGATGAACAAATTGTGGTATAACCACGCAGTGGAATATTATTCAGCCAAAAAAAGGGAATAAAGTATTGATACATGTTACAGCATGGATTAACCTTGAGAATATTATGCTATGTGAAAGAAATCAGACACAAAAGAGCACATATTGTATGATTTCATTTATATGAAATGTCCAGGATAGGTTAATCCATAGAGACAGGGAGCAGACTAACAGTGCTCAGGGACTGGGGGGACAGGCGCATGGGAGTGACTGCTAATGGGTACAGAGTTTCCTTTTGGAGTGACAAAAAGTTCTGAAACCAGATACTGGTGATGGCTGCATAACATTTTAAATGTACTTAATTCCACCAATTAGTTCACTTTAAAATGGTAATTTTATGTAATGTGCATTTTACCATGGTAAATTTTATATCATGTGTATTTTACTATAATTAAAAAAAAAATCACTGCTGGTGGGTACATGTGCCAGTGAAGTTGTTAAGACAGAGTGAAAACTCTATGCTTTGCTAGCCTAGGTTTGGGGCTCTGACTTGGAGCATAAATGACTCCTAAGGATCTTTACTGAGTTTTCTTTCAGGATGAAGAGCCGTATCATCAGCACTCTCAGGACTCACAGCCCTTTCATGGCCAATGTCAGGTGGTCCTCACCGGCCTCTGACAGGCAGGCTGGCATTTCACCTGAGACCGCGAGAGGCTGGCGGACCTGTGCAGGGTGGTGCGGCTAGGCCAGAGCTGGGGTTAGAGCCTGTCGCTCTGCCTCGTGCTCCTGCACCAACTCTTACTATCAGGAGTGTGCTGTGGGCTGTCTCGGAGACTGCACAACATTGTCCCGATGAGAAAAAGGCCTCCGGATTCCAGCGAGTGCCTTGCGAGGAATCTTTGTAACTCAAGCCTTGCGTGGATTGGGGATTGCCTGCTCAGGGCTGCGAGAGGAAGCAGACACAGGATCTGTTTGCCTTGATTCACGTAACCAGATCTCCCCTTTCCGCAGCTTGTTGCCCAAACCCCCACACCTTCTGCCTGGGCCAAGGCAACTTTAAAAATGGAACGAAAGAGATGCTCTCTTTTCCCCGGTAGTGTTAACCTACTACATCTTATTATTTTTTCTGTATTATTTTTCTCCGTGGATCTTAAGTTTGAAAAAGTTTGTCAGCAAAATAATTATAAAGTAAAATGTAATTACTTTTTCTATTTTTATTAATGAAAATAACTGACATATCCAACTTCTGTGCCACTCTTCTACACGCTTTGTATACACTAACTTTTTCTAGCTTCATCACAGGGTGTGGTAGGTACTAATTTTACAGATGAGGAAACAGAGCCACAGAGAGGTTAAGTACTTGCCTAGATTTCAAAAGGGGTGGAGCCGGTATTCAAACCCAAAGCCCTGCTCTTGGCCACTTTTTCTCATCCAGAACTTTGGATCAGCTTGAAAGAGCCAAAGTTGTGCAATAAGTTGAAACATTTTTATCCCCATAAAAGTGTTCTGTAATTAGTCTTTAGAGCTTTATTAAAGACCTTGTCTTTGCATTAACTGATTAAATCCTTCTAACAGTCCTACGAGGGAAGTCTTTACCCCTGTTTTAAAAATGAGAAAATTGAGGTTAGACAGTTTGAGCAGTGTTCATGGTTCCCAGCTAGTTAAGGGCGGGACTGTGAATGGGGCATCTGGCACTAGCTCCCACTCTTCACCATCCCCCTACAGGCACCTGCCTCAATTCCATCTCTTCATTATGACCTCCCTGGACTCCATGTGGGGAACCCCTGACCTGGCTTGCCTCTTCTACTTTCCCAAGTTTTCTGAATCCAAAAGGGTCCATGCAGAGCTTTCACATGGCGTGTCCCCAAACCACCTGCACTGGAGGACTCTTCAAGGGAACTCTGCCCAGAGAGACCCAGCGTTTGTAGTCACCCCGTTTAGCCCCTGGGACCTGGCAATCCTCTGTCCCCCATGCCTGTCTATCCCGGGCCCTGCTCAGCCCAGGGGGGAGGGGACTGGCATAGGTCACTGAGTGCCTTGGCTACTGAATGTGAAGCTGTTCCTTTGGCATTGTCCTGGGCTGCTTATTTTCAAGCGATAGTTTATTCCGGCGTGACAGGAAGAACATACTAAAAAGCAACAGATAAAGCAGATGGTCAGCGTTCTGTAGCAGGAAAACTACGCAGGCCAACCCTGGGCCCGCTGGGAGACGGGCGCGGTCAGCCTCCCGCCTCGCCAACACCCAGGGCCCTTCCGCAATGAATTTCTCAGGCATTTCCGAGGGGGCTCCATTTCTCAGATTGGGTTCATTAGTACTCTGTCCTTTCTTTCCTCCTCGAAGCACGGCAGAGTGATAGAAAACTTACAGGGCCTGCGGCAGAATCTATAATCCTGTTCCTAACTCCTGCATGGTCTGGAGAATGGGACCAACTCCTCACTGAGTCAGTGAATCACAGTAAATACCTTCCTTAAAAGGCAGGGTGTAAATTAATACTCACCCAGACGAACAAATAACTAGTGTCAAAGCCTCCTTTTGGGGCAAAATCATCCTTATTCAGATGGCGGTAACCATTATTTGTTCATCAAATACTCGTGCATTTGCAAAGCGTTGTGTCAGAGCTTTGAGATGCACTCAGCGTTGCATCTGACATTAATCCTGCCTTCCTACCCTCGTGGAGATGGACAGTTGTCGCTTACATAAGTAACTGTGAACAAGGTGGAAAGCAATATGCTGTAAGAGAGGTGGCAATAAAGTAGCTGGGATTCTTGAGACAGAAGAGAGGAAAGGTTGTAATAAAAAATGCTGTGTAAATAGAACAGAGATCGTTATGTGTTAAGCTAATTCAGGAAAATGTGTCCCTGATATGAATGAAAATTTTGCCCACAAAGGACTGATTCTTAGTAGGGGAACCCAACTACTATTTCAAAGTGTTCTGTTGTACATACTGGCCCGATTTGTGTTTTTATGCCCACCGGATTGGACAAAGGAGTTCTGTACTGTTACTAGTCACCTTGGGTGATGCCTGTCTCAGCCTGGTGCCGAGTTATTTTGCCACCTTTGGCAATTTCAGGCTGGTTTCTGACTGTGCACAGAACAAACGGAGTCTCCACATGAGCATATTCCAAGGTTTATAAATTAAGTGGCTTTGGGCAGGTCAGTTCATGTCTTTCAGCCTCAGTTTCCCTATAATACAGAATTGAAGATGTTGAAATGCCTCATTAGCTCTATAGTCACCCATGTAAATCAACACTAGCAAAGTCTAGGATTGATCTAATACATATCACATACCTTTTAAACATGCATTTTTGGAGGTTTTTGGTGTCCTAAGAGATCTCCTAAGGATTTTTATACATAAGCATATCACTTAGGAATTTTCACTGTGTGTAGTGTTTGCACACACACACACACACACTCACACACACACCACCACCACCACCACCACCACCACCACCACCAGGCCAGCTTTGGTTGGATCAAGCCCAAATCCCACAGGATAGAATTGATCTGAATTTACTAGAGGTCAGGCTATTTCCCTCAACTCTGCTATTGAAAAACATTATTAATAAAGCTCTTTACCTCTTTTGCCCAGAAAGCCTGTGTTATCAGAGCAATACTAGAGAGGAGAAATCACAGAATGTCAGCTGCCTGCTCTCTCACTTGGGATGATATCACCAGTAAACCTTTATGTGAAGCAACCAGCAAACCTCTGCCTTCCTCTACCGGAAGTTTGGGATTCAGATAGCGTTTCAGCTGACGTGCTGTGACACATGCCAGAGCCGAATACAGGCCAAGGGCTGTGCAGGGTTTCATGGTTTCAAGTCAAACCCAAACCTGCATATAGTAACGTACTTCAAAAAATAAAGGAGGCAAGAATGCGTTCATATAAACTTTTTTTTTTTTAACTTCAGAAGTTTAAAAAGTTACAAAATATTTCATCTCACAGAGAGAATTTAATTACAGTTATGAATGGGTCTCTCTCTCCAGGCACCTGGAGCTGTCAATCAATCCTCTTCATTTCCAGAATTCTCCAGGAGCGATCAAAGGGCTTGTTAACCTATTGTTTGCCTTTGTAAGACGTAGCCCTTAAGTCTTTGTGGTTGTTCAAATGTGAAAGCTGCTCTGGAAGGGAGAAGTGGCCCTGAATCTGATCATGGGAGTGCGTCGGAGGCCAGGCTCTGATGGAGGGAAAGACCTGCATGTCTACTCTGTAGCCTTTGACCAAGCAACTCCTAGTTTAATCGGATTAACACAAACTAAAACTCTTTATCCACAAACCCAATCGAGCCAACATTGGTGAGAAACGGACAGTAGTCTTGGGCTGCTGAGGCCTGCCATTCCGTGTTCCCACTAAAGAAGCAAGACTCTGGTGTGGGGGCATCTAGTGCTTCAGCCTCAAAGAAGAGTCCCCAACACCAGCACTTACCTGAGCACAGGCCAAGGAGCAGGAGGAGCAGCCGGGGTTCCATGGGCTGTGGGCACTGGTGTGGACTGGTGGCAGACTGGTGGGTGACCTGTGCTGCTCGCGGGCGCTCTGGCGGGACACTTGGCTGCTAGAGGGTTTGGACAGCGAGTCGGCTCGATGGAGGTATTGTTTTACACCACCTGTTGTGGCAGGGACAGCTGGGCTGCCCAGAGCCCTGGAGCCCAGGGAGTCGCTGAGCGCCTTACGTATTACAGAGTGCCTCGCTTTACACAACTGCTCTACCCTTGGCAAGATGAGTGTGAACTGCATTGTGTTTTGAATGCACCACAAGTCAGATCTTAATGAAAACAAAAAACTTACAGTAGGGAAAGACTTATTCTGAATGGTGAGCAACCCTCCCCCTCTTGTGAAAACCAGAACCTCAGCTCTGTGGATTGATTTGATTAGGGTCACTGGCCTGAGTAGGCAGTCAGCTCTGTGTCTGACACAGATCATCCTGAATCACAGACGTGCACACAGGAAAACTCATTTGCTCCAGTTCTCTCCAGGCTCTCAGCCTGGGGCTCTGGTGACAACATGAATTTGAGAAGAGCGTAGTTGGTACTGAATCTGCTGTTGGAGAGCCAGGTTTGATTGGATTTGGTTTTTAACAAAGAAGGCTTCTTCCATAAAATTGGTTTTCCTGGCTTCCTGGGTGGCTGTTCCAGCCCCTCTCTCTGCGACAGGCAATCCCAGGGCGGGCCATTAGCTGGAGCAAACTGCCCACCCCACATACTGTTATTCAAGTGAGCAGTAATTAATGGCAAAGGGTCCCGCTGCTTAAGCTGTTGTTCCAGATTCCTACTTTTTTCCATCCAGTCCTCTGCCTACTCTCACTCAGGGAACCAAAGAGCAGAGAGTTTCAGCTTTTCAATTCCTTTGTTTTTAAAAAAAACCCCTAAAAGCCAGCAGTTAGTAATTGCTCAGCCTGAGAGGTGTTTTTACCGAAACAGGGAGGAGCGCTGTGTAAGCTTACCCCGCTTGTCCCCTTTCCACCTCAGAGAAGGGCCCCCCAAATCAAGTCAGGTGAGGAAGGTCCTTCACCTCAAGCCCCAATTCTGACAAGCCCACTATAATTAAGGGAAGGACTTGGAGGGTGGAGGAGAGAGCTGAAAGTTCACATTTATAATTTTTCTGTTTGTAATCGTCCATTAACAAAAGTGGTTGTCTCCCTTCAACATAGCCTGGCACTGTGACCGCTTAACAGGAGCTATCCCACCCCCCACACACCTTCCCCGTTCATCTAGATGGACCCATGGGATGGACTTCTAGAAAATAAAATGTGAGAAGAAATTTGATGAGATCACAAACCTCCCACTGGAGCTATTCATGCTCTTCTCGTCTTCTGACTGCTGGGAACGGACGTGACCCCCAGGGTAACCTTGGAAACCACGTGTTGAAGGGGGCTTCGCTTTTGACATCCCGGATCTTGAGTGACTTCATGGAGGAGGGCACCCCGTTGTCCCGGTCCCCAGCCAGCTCTCCACGAATGAGAACAAAACTTTTATTGTGTTAAGACGTTCACATTCTTGGGTTTCTTTGTTCGGCAGCTGATGCTATCATTATTAATACAAAATTGACTCCCTTGCATTGGGGTCCTGTGGGTAAGAACCAACCCTAAAATATGTAGCACTGCAGAGGGAGGCAAGAAAATGGGCATTGGAGGCTGAGAAGATGAAGACTCGTGTTATATAATAGTGGATTATTTTATAATATTGTTCCTTAATTACTTAGTGAGCAAAGGGTTACTGAGCCCGTGGCTCCAGGAGAAGAGGTCAGAAAATCCAAAGTTAGTGCTCGCTGATTTTTACTGGCTTTGGTTAGCGAGTAGGTACAAGGAAGAGTGAAACTCAAGAAAGAACTGGCTGGCTTAAGAGCAGAAATGAAAAGGGATATGATGATGAATCTAGAAATCTGGAGCCTTCTGTTTTGAGCCCCAGAGAATAAGTGATAACACAGGAAAAAGGCTTCAAGGAACAAAAGCCCCATTAAGAATTCTCATTCAACAGATAGTTTCACCACTGCAGCAAAGGCCAGTTTAAGGGCACTTTCTTCACACTTAAGCCCATTTTTTTCCAGATGGCTTCAAGATGGTTGCCATCAAGTTGAAGGAGAGGCATAGGGGTTGCAATGCAAGCAGTTAATCAAGCTTGAGAATTATGACTAGGAAAGAACCCTATGTGTGCACACGGGCACATGGAAATGACTGCAAACACTTTAGAAACTTGCTAAGTATTTGAAGGAATTGTATTGCCAGAGAGTTCATGAACCTGGACTACAAATGCTTCATGCCCTAAAACAGTTCTTGAGTACCCCAAACATGCATGGGCAGAAATCAAGCCACAACCTCTGCACGGATTCCCAAGAGGGCACCCTCTGCATTGTCACTGCAGGCGTGGCCATGGAGGCGAATGGAAAAGGAAGAGCCCCCCAGGGGCATAGCCAGGAGCCACTGGAGCCACAAGGGGTGTCCTCCCAGAGAGCAAAACCAGAGTCTAATCAAGGAATCGCTGCAGATCCTCTCTGTGTCCACCACGTCCCCATGGGTCACCTCTGCTTGGAGAACCCTGCTTACTGCCCACACCTGCAGCCCTCTGCCTGAGGGTAGTTTGTTTTTTTTTTAAATATATCTTTATTGATTTCAGAGAGAGGAGAGGAGAGGGAAAGAGAGAGATAGAAACATCAATGATGAGAGAGTCATTGACCGAGCCCACAACCCGGGCATGTGCCCTGACCGGGAATCGAACCCGGATAGCCTGGATCCTAGGTCAATGCCCAACCGCTGAGCCACGCCCGGCCGGGCCTGAGGGTATTTTTTCTTTCTGGCTGTAGGAACACTTGAGACGAGCTGGAAGCTCAAGAGAGCGAATGTCCCCAGAAATGGCCCTCAGCCACTGTGGGAGGGAAAATGCCCCAGCTCCCTCGCCCTTGTAATGGGGTAACTGAGGCATACTCTCTTCCGAACATTTGTGGGACTGAGTCCCTGTTGCCTGTGGCGGAAATGACTGGACACCCTCCCTTCATTGGCTTCCTTCCGCCGCCTCTGCCTCGCTTTCCCCATCCCGCCGCCTCTCACATACACTCTGCACAGGGTCTGCTTCTGGGGAACTCAGATCGAGACAATTTCCTGCACCGTCCAGGCAGGGGGTCCTCACAGCGATGCAAATGGGTGCCCTTTCCTCATTTCTAGTGTCTTACTAATTCTCCTTTGGAGGTGAAAAGTAGACTAAGAAAAATATTAAACTTACTCGGAAGCAAAGCTTTTTCTTCCCCATTAAGAAGCTTACTATTCAAGTAATTTAAATTTACTATAAAAAATTTAAAAACAGATGGCCAAAAAAAAAGTTTACCCACTGTCCTTCTACCTAGAAATCCATGGTTAATAGGTTATTTTATATCCATTTAGACCCTTTCCATGTATGTATGTATACATATATATATGCATTTTACTATCCCAAATCCCTGTTTCACATTACTTAAAGTCAAAAGATTTCCTTTAATTTTTAGTTTTTTGTGGATTACCTACTGCTAAGGAAATGCTATTTATAGGAGATTAATCTTTTTACAGCTTTGTTAAGGTATCATTGACAAATAAAATTTTAAGATTTTGAAGTATACAATGTGATGTTTAATATATGCATACATTGTGAAAAGATTCCCCCCATGCTTTCACTTATTAAACATTTTTTTCATTGAGCATTGCTATGTGCCAAGCATAGATCTAGGCATTTGGGATGCATCAGTAAACAGAACTAAGATTTTTAAATGTTCCTCAGGAAAAATGCATTCTAGTTGGAGAAAATAAATGGACAAATTATATATATACAAATTATATATATATATATAT